TCTGTCCCTTCATCCATTCCTCCCTTTCTTTCACTTCATGACACTGACTAAAGTCTCCAACACAAGGTAGATTAGAAGTAATATTGACTTATTCTTGACCAAAGAAGTAAAGCATTTGGTCTTTCACCATTGGGCATTGTGTTATCTGTTAGTATTTTGGAGAAGCCGTTTTTCAAGTTGAGCAAGTTCCTTTCTATTTTTTGTTTGCTGAGAGTGTTTATTAGGAGTGAATATTATATTTTGTCAAGTAATTCTTAGGCATCTATTGAAATGATTACAAGGTTTGTCTTTTTAAAATTTATTAACATGATGAATTATATTAATGATTTTTAAGTATTAAATTATCCTTGCATATGTATGATAAATCCTAGGTCAGGATTAACTTCATTAAAATTTTATGAATAATTTTTGCATCTGTGTCCATGAAGGATATTGTTCTGTAGTTTCTCTGGACTATCTTTGTCCTGCTTTGGTATAAGGGTAATGCTGATCTTATAGAATGTGTTAGGAGATATTGCCTTCTTGTCAGTTTTCTGGGAACATTGATTATTGATTCATATTACTTCTTTAAATATTTGGTAAAATTAATCAGTCAGTGTTGCCAGTGTTCTTTTCTTCATAAGTTTGTTTAAAAAACTATCAGCTCAATTTCTTTAATAGAAACTGGAACTATTCACATTTTCTATTTCTTCTTGAATAAATTGTGTTATTTAGTGTCTTTCAACAATATTTAGTGTCCATTTTATGTGAATTGTCATTGTGTGGGCATAAAGTTGTTTCCTTACTATCCTTTTTTAATGTTTATGGAATATGTAATGAGGTCACTGCTTGCATTCCTAATATTGCAATTTGTGTCTTTTCTATTATTTTCCTAATCAATCTTGCTAGAGGTTGATCAACTTAATTGATCTTCTAAAAGAATCAGCTTTTAGGTTCATTGATTTTCTCAATTGTATTTCTGTTTCTTTTTCACTGATTTCTGCTCTGATCTTTATTATTTATTTTTCTCCTTGCTTTGGGTTTACTTTGAGCTTGCTTTGATAGTTCTTAAGGTAGAAGTTTAAGTCATTGACTTGAAATCTTTCCCATTTTCTAATATATATATATATATTTAGTTGTATAACTTTCTCTGAGCACTACTTTAGCAGTATCCCACAAATTGATTTATTATGCATTTCTTTACTTTTCTTTTTAAAGAACAATCTTTTATTGAGTTTTTGGTGAAAGCTCAGAATACCTTCCCTCACTGCTAGTTAGCATGACTACCATCCCATCATTAGAGGCTCATTCATTAAAAGCAGATACCACATCTTATTCAATTTTGAATTTCTCAGTAGTAGTTCAGAGTATGCTATGGTAGTAATCAATAAATGAGGAAGAGGAAGAAAGGAAGACAGAGAAAGGAAGGAAGGAGAGAAAGAGGGAAGGCAGGAGGGAAGAAGAAATGAAGGACATACCAGTTAAAATGATGACTATGCATCTGGGAGGTGAGTTAGATAGTTCTCAGTTGGAACTAGCAAGCCCATAGCTGAGAGTAAGCCCATAATTGAGAACCATAAGAAGGCAGTGTGGTGTGGTGGAAGATAAGGTCGGTAACTGTGCTAGACCTTGAGCCAAGTGACTTAACCTCACCGAAATCCAATTTCCTCTTCTGTGTGATGGGAATATTAATCATACCTTATGGAGTGATCAAAGGTTCCCAGAAGACGACATATGTTAGGGGCCTGACAAGAGAGATCCCTCAAGGAATAAGAGACATTAGTAGTCTAGTCTTCTGGGAGTAGGAGGTGGGAGTGGAATGGACCTACAAGCAGAATAGCTCTTGCAGACAAACTCTGCACCAGGAAGACAGCTAGCCGTTCTGTTCATGCTGTGTATTTACAGAAGCTCACATGTTACCACCATCATCCAGAAGCCCTTTCTAAGCCCAGTCCTGCACATAGAGGTGCTGGGTAATGCACAAAAACATCTGCACAGATACAGCCCTGACCTCTCAGGAAGGCAGAGTAACCATGATAAATCTGTATAAGATTGGGTGGTGGCTAGGATTGGAATAAAGGCCATCTCCCAAGTGAGGGGCTGGTTAAAGGAGCCAGGGTAGGAATAACCCTCTCATCCTGAATGGAGTCAGAAGATACCATCTGCTCTTCTGTGTTGAGGCTCCATTACCCAGAGTTAATTCCTAAGGCCAGCAGGTAGCCTTCCAGCTGTGGGCCCACAGCTCTGTACAGCTTGGTAGTGGAGGATGTCTACTGAAGTCAGAGTTTGCTTTGGAGTTATGGTGTAGTTGAGCCCACAGCCCAGGCCCTGGTATTGGAGGCAATCAGAGAAACCCACCTGATGTCATAGGAATCATCTACTTCCTTTACCAACATGGACACCTCAGGAGTTACTGATTCAGGACATCACTTCCTCCAGCTCCTCACAAAATGCATTATAGTGCATGTACATGTTTTTGTTTTTATAGTTCAAGTGTTATCATGTATTTTAAAGTAGACTTAGTCTACTTACAAAATTTCTTCAGAAGGTCCAAAAATGATGTTGTTGTTGTTAAGTGCATTGAGTCGGACCTGACTCATAGCCACCCTGTAAAGGGTTTCTGAGATGGTGCATCTTTGCATGAGTGGAAAGCCTCATCTTTGTCCTGCAACCCAAAGATACTGACATCAATATTTCCTTTTATCATATTAGTTGATTTTTTATTGGTTAGAATATCACAGACTTTCAGAGTGTGAAAGCTCAAAGAAATGTTTAAGATGTACTGATCTGGGCCTCTCATTGTTCAGGTGAGGACACAGTGGCCACCAGGTGGTGACTTCAGGTTAGAAGTCAGCTGTCTGCATGCCTACTTCCATGACATCACATTGCAAGATGCACTATTAAAAGCTTTGACAGGCTTTAAGAATCTGATGGAGGTGTATGATTTATGATTCTCTACTAAGTATTCCAGAAAACTTAATTGTGCTCATGAGGAATCTGTACCTGGACCAAAAGACAGTTGTTCGAACAGAACATGGGAACACTGAATGGTTTAAAATTAAGAAAGGTGTGTGACAAGGTTGTATTTCTTCACCATATTTATTCAACCTGTATGCTGAGCAAATAATCTGAGAAGCTGGGTTCTATGAAGAAAAATGTGGCATCAGGATTGGAGGAAGACTCATTAACAACCTGCAATATGCAGATGATACAACCTTGCTTGCTGAAAGTGAAGAGGATTTAAAACATTTACTGATGTAAATCAAAGAGCACAGCCTTCGGTATGGATTACATCTCAATGTAAAGAAAACTAAAATCCTCACCACTGGACCAATAAACAGCATTCTTATCAATGGAGAAAAGACTGAAGTCGTCAAGGACTTCATTCTTCTTGGATTAACTGTCAGCACTCATGGAAGCAGCAGTCAAGAAATCAGATGATGTATTATTGCATTAGGCAAATCTGCTGCACAAGACCTTTTTAAAATGTTGAAGAGCAAAGATGTCAGCTTGAGGACTAAAGTGCACCTGACCCAAACCCTGGAATTTTCAATAACCTCTTATGCATGTGAAAGCTGGACAGTGAATAAGGAAGACTGGAGAAGAATTGATGCTTTTGAGTTATGGAGTTGGAAAAGAATATTGAAAAACCCGTAGATCCATTTTGGAAGAAGTGCAGCCAGAGTACTCCTTGGAGGCCAAGATGGCCAAACTTCATCTCTCATACTTCAAACATATTGTCAGGAGGGACCAGTTGCTGGAGAAAGATATCATGTTTGGTAAGGTGGAGGGTCAGAGAAAAAGAGGAAGACCTCCAACGAGATGGATTGGCCAAGTGGCAGCATCGATGGACTCAAGCGTGGCAACAGTAGTGAGGTTGGCCCAGGATCGGGCAGTGTTTCCTTCTGCTGTGCATAAGGTTGTTATGAGTCGGTACCAACTCAATGGTACCTAACAACAACAACTGACTGGAAATAGTGTTGGGTGTCACCAAGTTGGTCTTGGAGAGGCCAGAACAATAAGAAGCTCCTTGAGGGTAGGGCATGCTCTCATACCTTAGCTACGGTGCCCACTGCTCTAACAGAGGTCTGCAGCATGGGGCAAGAGCTCACCAAGACTGTGCTGATAGGGAGTGATGGGAAAGGAGTGTCTATGAGAGGAGAGTCTCCATCCTTGTCAACTCTTAGGAGTCAGGCCAGGAAGAGATTTAGAGCAAATGCAAGTTAGATGAGCTTGGCTTTAAATCTTAGTTTTTACACTAACTTGCTGAGTGACCTTGGGAAAGTCATTTTACCTCTCTGAGTCAGGGTTTCTTCATTGGGGACATAGAAATGTTAACATGTATTTATATCAGAAGAATGCGAAAACTAAATTAGAGAAAGTATATAAAGAGCACACATGGTGACTATCCCTAAGCAGGAAAAAGGGGAAAAAACCCCAAATAGTTGCAGTTGAATGAATTCCAACTCATGGTGACCCCACACTGTCACTGTAGCACTGTGATCCATAGGACTTTCAATGGCTGATGATTCAGAGGCAGATTGCCAGATTTGTCTTCCAAGACATTTCTGGGTGGATTCATACCTACCAACCTTTTGGTTTATCAGCTGAGCGCATTAACCATTTACACCACCCAGGGACTCCTTTCCTGTAAGTAACACACGCAAAAATAGCAGCTGGTCTTTCAGAATCTGTGTTGTTTAAATCAGGAACCATTGTTTTTAGGTCTTACACCCAACATCCTTTCCATGTGGAAGTGTCTGTGCTTTTTCTTTCCCTCCCTCTTCTCTTCTCCCTTTGATGGGCTGGCTGCTCTACTAGTGATGATGGCACATTTCCCCTTGTCTTGATCACATGATAATTAAAGAAATGGTTGCTAAGAGATGTTGGGGTACACTGGTGAATGGCTCTAGTCCCCTCTCAGAATTTTTCAGCTTCATTCCATCACCCCCATACTCACTTCTCTCTTCCATCTCCCATGTTCAGGTTCTGAAAAGACCCGAAGAAACAGATCGATCTGGATGGCTACCCCCAACCAGACGGTGATCTCTAGTCCGCAGAGACCTGGCATGGGGCGAAAAGGAAGCGGGACCTTCCTGAGTGCCCTGGGCAACTTGGAGTGGAAGAAGACTCAGGAACAGACACCGAGTCAGCTGACCATGCTAAGTAAGGCGCAGGAATTCTTCCAGACCTGTGATGCAGAAAGCAAGGGCTTCATTGCCAGGAGGGATATTCAGGTAAGAGGGATCCCACTGGGCCACCCACTGGGAATGTCAAATGGCTTGGGTCTCCTTGTTTTAGATTAGGGCTTGCCCATTGGAGTTGGTATCTTTAACAGAAAAGATGGCATACATTACATTCTGCCCCAGGAGGAAATGTCTTCCCAAACTCTTCTTAGCACCAAATTTCCAGGGTCTATTCTTTTTGCTCCGCGGGAGAAAGATGAGGCTGTCTACTCCCGTAAGGATTTACACCCTCGGAAACCCTGTACAGGGTCGCTATGGGTCGGAACTGACTCGACGGCACTTAACAACAACAACAACAACAATTCTTTTTGCTGCCTTTGACCTTTTGTCAAGCTCGACATTGTTTCCCTCCCTCGCTGACTCAGAAACTCCCCCAGGACTGTGGATGCAGTGATAACAACACTTCCGCCTGGAAGAGGATAGGCCGGGCAGAGACACAGAGACACGGGAAGAAGGGAAATGAGCCTTTGCTGGTGGATTTTGGATTCCCCATGGAAAGTCCACGAGCTCTGTGGTGTTCCTGGGGCAAATCCTGCAGGCAGGATCACTCACATCACTCCCACACTTAGCTCCTTTACAGGTATGGTCACCACCCTTGAGTCTGGCGAACATGGTTTCTGTCTCCTTTTACAGTTCTCACTTCCAGCACAGCCTCATGAGAACTTGAAAAGTTTTGTGCTCACACAGGTTTGGCAACCAGGAAAGGTCCTTTAAAGTAAATACTGGTTCCCAGGATGGAGAAGTTATGGTCTAATGGGCAGGAGAACTCACAGACCTGGGAGAACCGAGTGGAAAACAGAGTTGATAGAAAGGCATGGGGAGCTGACTGTCCTTTGGAAACAGGAATGAGAGTGTTACGGGTCCTTTTGCAGTGCTCTTTTCCACTTCCCCTTTGTTAATAGATAAATAAACAATTCATCTTCAGAGGACAGGATTGACTTCCCAGGCATCCTGTAGTGGGAAGAGACTGCTCAAGCTGATACAACAGGGACCAAGAACAAAAGAACAGTGTCCCTGGGGGAATCTCTGAAGGAACCCGCAGTGGGCTGCGCTGTGGCATATAGTGCAAGCTGGCATGTGCTCAGGCTTTCCTGCAGACTTCGGTCACTGCCCCAAGCAGACAGAGTCCTCAGACCTCACACCAACCTCTACAGGGATCATCTGTGGGGTTCACAATGACCACTCCAGGCAGAGTCAGGGAAGATACAGCTCTGCAGAATTGAGTTAGTGCTGAACCCTGGACAAGCAGAGACTCAGGCCTGAGGGCTTGAGTGAAAGTTCTGCCTCAGAGCGAAAGAAGGCAGGAGAAGCCCAGGCTAGGGAAGGCATGAAGGGTTCCTTTCAGCTGTGAAAGGAAAGTAGGCACGGGATGGGCACGTGGTTTCTCTGAAGAAACCAGTTGTTGTTGTTAGGTGATGTCACCAAGTCTGTGAAGCTGCGGGGTGGGCACCAGCCTTTTACGTAACAGCTAAGCGCTTAACTGTTGCAGCATCAGGGCTCCTAGAACTTCCTAAACCTTCTCCCTGGAATCTCAGAGGAGTGAAGCGATTATCTACCAACTCCAAGTAACTCTCAACACACCTGGAATTCCTGGCTTAGACAAACTGTTAAATTACGTATGAACTATGACTTGTGGATAGTTTTTGTTCATAAAGTTTGACTGAAATCCAGCCATGCTCATTCATTTATTTATTGTCTATGGTTGCTGTCACACCACTATCATAGCATTGAGCAGGTGTGACTGACACTGTGTGGCCCACAAGCTTGGTTGGACCTCTACATAGAAAGTTCGCTGACAGCTGGTTCAGGCTAATAAGAATTTCTTTTCTTTTCTTTTTTTTTTTTTTTGGTAAATTGTCTTGGATTTTAACCCTAAATCTACAATTTACTAGCTACATGAATTTGTGTATATCTCTGAACTCCTATAGATCCTGTAGTTCTATAGGATTGTTAATAGCTGCCTCCCCACATTAAAGGAGTCCTGGTGTGGCGCTGTGGGTTAATGCGCCAAACTTCAAAGCCGTTTGAACTTCAAGGTCAGCAGCTCAAGCTCATGAAAAAAATGAAATGTGTGATGCTACAGGATAAACACTGAACTGGTCAGCAATTCAAATTCACCAGCTGCTCCTTGGAAACCCTATTAAGGATCACTATGAGTCGGGACTGACATGATGGCACTTAATAGCATGCATATAGAACACTTAACCTGAGACTGGGACCTGGGACAGTGCACTTGTTGGGGGGTCCCATAGTCTGTGTCAATCCAGTCCCTGGTGCCCCCCATACTGACTTTAAGTGGGAGTCATCTGCCCTGCAGATGAGAGACAGAGAAGGGGCATTTCTATGAAGAGGGTGCCTCCCACTCATATCAGCTGGTGCTGGTCTTGTTTGTGTCCAGTCTATATCAGGATATCAGCATGGGCTATTTTGCCAGCTAGGAGACAGCTAGCAGTTTCTAAACATATATATATATATATGTATGTATAGGTTTGGTTGGTTGGTTGTATGCTGCGGAGTCACTTCCAATTCATAGCGACTCTGTATAGGGTTTTTGAGGCTGTAAATCTTTATGGAAGCAGAAAGCCTCATCTTTCTCTCTCCTGCAGAACAGCCAGTAGTTTTGAACTGCTGACCTTGAAGTTAGCAACCCAGCATCAATGGGCTCAAACGTGGCAACATTTATGAGGTTGGCCCAGGACCGGGCAGTGTTTCGTTCTGCTGTGCATAGGGTCGCTAAGAGTCGGTATCAACTCGATGGCACCTAACAACAACAACAACAACAAGCTAGCTATATTATTGAAACAACTGAAGAAGAGGCTAGAGGGTGAAGGCCAAAGGTACTGTTGCTGTTGTTGTTAAGTACCATAGGGTTTCCAAAGAGTGGCTGGAGTCCTAGTGTGGCGCTGTGGCTTAATGTGTCAGACTGCAAAACCGTTTGAACTGCAAGGTCAGCAGTTCGAGCTCACCAGCCGCTCTTCGGAAACCCTATATAGGGTCGCTATGGGTCAGAACCGACTCAACAGCACTTAACAACAACGAAGAGCAGCTGGTGACTTTGAACTGCCGACCTTGTGATTCAAACTGACCTTGTGGTCTAATGCCACACCAGGACTCCTACTAAATAGCCTTTAGTACATAGAAGAACCCCCTCTTCCAACAAAAAATTGTCCATTCCAAGATGTCAATAGTACAAAGGTGAGAAACCTTAGTCTACACCAAGCAATGGGTCCAAGTCAAGAACATCAGGTACTTCAAGACACAAAGCAGAATAAAGGTAGACGCTGCCCTCACGGACCTCACCCTCTCATCTTGGAGATACTTGGGACGGCTGAGCTATACAGGAAAGGGAGTGGTTGATGCTAGAGAGAGGTCTGAACAGAATGTTATGGGAGCCCCAGAAGGAGGCAGCATTTAATTCTGGTTGTAAAGATGTATCTCTTCTGCTTTTCATGCTCTAGCTCCCCGTTTTCTTTATTGAGGTAAAAAATTTATATCATAAAATTTTTTGTTTAAAAATTCTTCAGCACACAATTCAACGCCATTAATTATATTCAGAATGTTGGGCAACCACCACCGCCATCTATTTCCAAAACGTTTTCATCATCACAAACAGAAACTCTGTACCTACTAAGCAATAAGTCTTCATTCCCTCCCTCTCCCTTCAGCCCCTGTTCAACACAAATCTACTTTCAGTCTCTGCATTTAGCTATTCTAGATATTTCATATGTTTGGCATCATAAATATTTGTTCTTTTCTGTCTGGCTTATTTCACTTAGCGTATCTGGTTTTCTCTTTAATGAGAGTGTCACATAAGCATGTTCAAAGCTGTGTAACCATTTGCTTGAAATGACATGAGGCATGTTACTGGGCTAGTGACCAGAAAAGTAAAGGAGTCTGGCTGGAGTGCAGCAGAAGACACGGTTTTTCAATGGTTCTGGGAGCTCAAGCCATCAGGACTACTGCTGCAGGTTGCCTCCAGTTCCAGGTGCTGGAAAATTCTCAGCTTATAAGAACATGCCAAGAATCGGCGGTTGTGTTGGTCAGAATCTGGGTATATGAGGTCTATAGATCAGAGCTCTATAGATAGTTCAGGATCCCCTGAGATTACCTCTTAGCCACTCAATCATTTATCCATCCACTCAACAGACATCTAAATACTGCAGATTTGTCAGCATTGGACTAGGCTCTGGGGTCACAACAGTGAATAAAAACAAATGGGGCTCATTTCTCAGAGAACTTCCAGTCTTACTGAAGAGAGGCAGACATTCATCAGCTCATCACATCCATCAGCATAACAGTTGCTGTCAAGTCCATTCTGACTCCTGTAGGCCCCACGTGTGCCTGAGTAGAACTGCGCACTGCAGTTTTCAGTGGGAGATTTTTCAGAAGCAGATCACCAGGCCTTTCTTCAGAGAAGGTTTTGGAGGGATTTAAGACTCCAAACTTTTGTTGAATAGACAAGTATGTGAACCATTTTCACCACCCGGGGACTCCATCAATCGGTATGGAAATGCAAATTGAGATAAGACTTATGAACAAGAGTAATGCAGTTTGGGGAGCTCATATAACCAGATCTAGCCTGGGGATTTCAGGAGACTTCACTGAGGAAGTGAAACCTGAGTTAAAAGTGAAGAAGAGAGTGGAAGGAGACAGGTACTTAAAGAAATCACAGAGTTGAAAGGAGTTGCTTGGGCCATGGGCAGTCTAAATCAGAGAGCTGTCTTCCTCCTACTTCTCTTCTTTCCCCTGCCTGCCCTTTCAAATGTGTCTTAAATGCTGAGAGTACAACAGTATCTTTAGCATGCTAATTCTTAGTAGTGTCATCAACAGAGACTTTAGAATTTATTGTGATGGAAGTAGTGCTGATTAGTGGATTGATGGGGAGAAACAGTGAAGGGTGGGTAGTTATAGAATGAAAACATTAGAGAACTATTAGACTATGTCTGAAGCCCTATATGAGGTTCTTTCTCCTTCTCTGGGCAGATCTCAGC